TGTGAGGCCAAAAAGCACGGAGAAATGTGGTACGAAGCGGTCGGTAACTGTACGCGCGTAGATGGGGGAGATGAGCATGCCTGCTATACCTATCAGACCGAAGAGACCGATTGTCAGGGATGAGTAGTTGTATGGGTCGCCGGCGAGGAGGAATGTCAGCGTTGTCCAAAACGATGTAAATGGCGCTGAGCAGAAGAGACCTGCTAGACATGCCTGGACGAGAACGGGGTGGCGGAACAGCATTTTGACAATGTCGAGTAGGATTCTGAAGTAATTCATGCCGGGGTTGGTCGCTGGGTAATCTGGCATGAAGAGCCAGAGCAGGACGAAAATGATGTACTGGAGGGCAAACGCCATCCAGTATACTGCGCGCCAGGTAACAAAGTTTGAGATCGTTCCAGAGAGGACGCGGGCAACGAGCACGCCGAGCATGAGGCCGGAGACGACGATGGACAGGGCTGCTGCGCGGCGTGATGGAGGAGCTAGGTCGCCCACGAGCGGGAGCATGAGTTGTGGCGTCACTGTTGTTACCGCCACGATGAAGGATATGGCCGTGAACGTGCCGAGGTCGGATGTCAGACATAGTCCTAGCCTGTTCCATTGTCAGCAATCTTCTTTCAGCATGCCTCGGATTTCAACGTGACATACCACAATGTCGCAGTGAATCCTACTAAACCACATACGAAAGGTCGTCGAGGCAACAAGTCTCCCAACGGACACAGAAAGAGTAGTCCAGCGGCATAGCCAGCTTGCATCACAGTAGGAATCTGTGCGACTTGCTCATAGCGCACGCCGAAGTCTGCAGCTAGTAGATTGAGGATCGGGTGGTTGTAGTAAAGGTTTGCGACTGTAAAGCCCGCGGCAAAGGCGAATAGAACGTTCACTGGGATGATGGTAATCAGCTGGAATCCTGCATGGTGTTCATCGAGGAGAGCTCTGAGGAGCTGCATCGTGAGGTAGGCTTTGTTCAAACCGAACTATGACATGAAATTTCGCATAAAGACGTACTGCTCATAGAGAATTGCGGTGGTTTATCCGGATCCCAGCGACAGTTCGGCGGCGTCCACGTCAAGATTGTGTAAATTCTTCTCCATATTGACTGCTTCTCTTCTTCCTGCTCTATTATGCCTGTATTCCGCTCTATTCCTTTTCGTGGTGGACGACCCGTTGGTGATGAGGCTGCTGTCTGCACTGCACTTTCGTCGGTGGCTGGTACCATCCCTCGGCCCCCACCATCTTTTAAGTCGACCGTTGACATAATTCGGCTTACGTCACACACATAATATACTTCCAATAAGCTATCCAACAAGAAATGACGATACAAACAGTAGCGGCGCGAAGCGTAGTACAGAAATAAGGATGTAGAAGTAAAGCAGATAAGATGCAGAAGAATCGAGGTACTGAGAATCGATGACGGGATCCTTCCTATTTCGACCAAGTTTGGCAAAGATCCATAATTGAGGAGCCGAGAACAGTTTTGAGCGAGGCTGTTATCCCCGGTATCACCGCCAATCAGATCTACCACGCTATCTGGATGTAGGGCATGACTACGGTTTTGCGACTTGAGAATATTGTTGGTATTGCGTCGCATATGCATCTCCCGTCTAGACAATGTCAACGATCTTCTCGTCTTCATCGTCTTCGGCATTTTCCAATTCCATCAGCTTCCCGCTACCACCTGCACTAGCCATGTCTGGTATATCCTCCTCTTCGCCTTCTTCTTTGCGCATGATGACCTGGACCACACGGTCACATGCTTCTTGGACTGATTCGTCATCGACATGCATGTGGCACTCTCTGACAATCGGGTAGACTTTGATGCGCCTCAGCACCTCTCTGCTTTCTTGCGTTGTACTCAGTAAAAGCAGCGTCTCAAGATGAGTCTTGATGATTTCGTGATCCTTCTCGCGCTCCTTGTCCGGCTCAAGGAGTTGTAGCTCATCCAGCATGCCCTCTGTGTCGTCATCTGCGTACTCTTCTGGGCCCATGAGGGGTAGAAGGATGTATGGAAGTAGGTTTGCACCGATAGATGGAGGTGGGAGATTCGGGTCGGGCGATAGATTCGATAGTAGCACGGGATGCGAAGGGACGTGGAAAGCGACGTTCTTAATCGCCGAAGCTACGCCAAGGCGGCGGATGTGCGAGGCGTGGTCTGTGAAGACCTGGATCTTGGTGATTGGGATTACGTTATCGTCGTGCTCTTGCGGTGTGGTGAGGTATTCGCGACCCTTGGGAAACTTGGCTAGATCGGCGAAGAAGTACGAAAGGTAGTCAAAATCTGCGTTCTTGTTATACGCGCCCTCTGCGCCCTTGACGAAGCAGTCCATGAGCTGATCCATAGCCCACGTTGACTTGGACAGTTCTTTTGGTATGTCGCGCTTCAACTCTAAAACGCGCTGTAGCGAGTCGTCCTTTGCCATGTTGGCGAGGAGCATTGCGATCTCGTTGGCGTTGGGCTCTTTTGAGTTCTGCAGCAAGTCAGCCCTTGACAGTCCTTGGCTGTATACAGGGGGAACTGACATACGGTTATCCGCGATAAGAGCGTTTCGAGGAAGTCGTCGTCCTTTGCCAGCGCCTTCTGGACCTCGGCGTCGGCGGAGACATTGATGAGGATGGTCAGGGCGTTCTTCGCTATGGGCGCATAGTCCTTGACGAGTAGCTTCAGGTCCCTAATAGGCTCTAGTTGGTTGCGCTTCCATAGGGAGACGTTCGCCTGTGAGTATCCGACAAGGTGGTCGGCCGCTGCATAGTGTGAGCTGTGTTCGGTGGTGGGGTGGAGGGGCTCGTCTGACCAGTCTGCCTGATCTGCGTGTTGCCGTGGTGCAGGAATTCCACAAGCTGGAAGCGGAGTATTAGCTGACGATGAACCCCAAAGTCTCGAGTACTTGGCTTCTTACCTCTTCTAATTCTGACGGCATCGTGGCTATGGCTGGCTTCGCGTGACTGTCGTGCGCCATGACGAAGGCCTAACTTTTTCTCGACTGCACATCTCGCTTATCGATAAGCCTAGCGCGCGTCCCGCATCTTCGCTGCGCGTTGTCGCGAGCTGCATGCCCGGCCACTGCAGCGACGTGATACCCGCTGATTGCTTCATCTAATGCATATTGCCCTGCCTATTCTTAACAAGAATGACCTGACCCCGTCATCGTCTTTCGACCACCAAGCCCTTGGACGCTTACCACCACAGCTGGGCAGCCACAGCTCCGTTGGAAGCTCGGCCTTAGTTCGGGTAACTCAGCACATTACCCAGCGACCAAGTCTTGTAATCAGGCCATCTTGCACAGTTTGCGTCCTGGTAAATTGTGCGATAAGCTGCCAGTGCGATGTCTGAGCCAGAGTTGCCTTGGTGCTAGGGCGGCTGCGTGCACCGTGACTCTGCAGCGTGCGAGCCCTCTTACCGCCGAAAGCTTGGTGGCTTCAAGCCCCATCCCCACCAAACGCTCTTACGCCAGAACAGACCTTCATCCGCCAGCGCTGCATGATCAAAGCCCGCGAAACTATGAAAATATATTCATGAGTTCAATTCCGGCTACAAGAATAATGAAGAATCACGCCCTGACTTTCGTGCTGTCAAAGGGCAGGTACGACAACAGACATCCCTCCCACAGCATTCATGATGCACACCGAAAGTGGCATGTTGGCAAAGGTTTTGAGCGCTCGAAATAGATCGACGACTCGCAGCGGGCCGCCGGACTGGCCACTTGTCACATGCATATGCTACCCCGACGCAGGGCAGGCACATACCGTCTACCAATCATCGCCAGATGCAGGCATTCTCACATCTCAAGCTAGTGCGGCGGGGAGTGTAGCGAGTGAACAGCGTTGGCGCTTACAGCAACCAGCAGCCAACCACCCAAAATATAACCGCCGCTCATCAATTCTGAGTAGCGCCGAGCCTTACACACATCTTGATTGGGCCCATCTGACCACCACCTGGCTGAGAAGAGGGTTTTCCTGCATGGGAAGTCGTCTTTGTACCGCTATTGCCCTGGCTGCATGCCACGGCTCTTCCGATGGCTCGGAGTGCCTCGCAGAATGCTCGTCTTATAGTCGTTATCCCCAGATTACCCGAGACGTCGTACTCCCGGTGTTGCTGTTCTCAGTCTTTGTTCTCTTCTCTACACAGCCGGTATCTGTTGTTTGGTCCCGCCAGTTATTTCGGGGTACCATTTATCAAAAGAGTAGGATAGCAAGCACTCATTATGGCTGGACCAGCATTCCAATTATTTCCTCCTCCTCGTGCTCCAAGACAGACGAGTCCCAGTCCGCGACCATCTCCTCACCCAAAGCCAGCCAGTCAAGAACCATTAGCAACAGAGAGTGCCGTAAGCGCCAAAACACCTGTTGATCTCCACGGACTTCTCATCCAAGTCAACTCTGTGCCAGTATCACCCTCCAACCCAATGGCGCCCCCGCCGGCCATCGCGGCCCCGCCAAGAGCACATATCCCCAGTCCACAGGCTACGACAACGCCAATGTCAAATACAACGAGTCGGCCATACTTTGAACCACCGCCTCAGCAAACTGCGTCCCCACAACTTGGACGGCAAGAAAGCTTTTACCGTGTACAAGAACGTCATGGCCATGATCAAATCGACGACCAGCAACGCACCGCCAGCCCAGATCCTGCTCGCGCGATTTCACCAGCTTTCTCCGAGGCTCAGACTCTGGTCCGAGCAAATAGCTCTGCTACAAGATGCATGTCACCGCAAGAAGAGATTCCGATGCGGTCAATGTTCCCAGTTTATGATCCCACAGTCCCTCTTGGACGTCAACCATATCAGCCAACCCAAGCGTCGCCCACACAGATACCTCGAACCCAGATCAGTCGTTCACCCTACTCTTCCGAGTCGTATATTCCTCACAACAACGTTCGCTCGAGCGGCTCGACAGCTCCTCCACCACCAAAGCCCTTCTTCACGCCATCCAACCTTCTTGACAATCTATGGCTAGCCACTAATGGACAAGAACAGCCCAGTGTGCAGATGTATACCCTGCGAATGCATCGAGCAACAGCCTCAAACCCGACAGTCACCTTTGGTACAACGCCATCGTTACCGTTCTACTCTGTAGCACAGTCAAACCTTGCAGGTAACCACGAAGTACCCAGCATCATGAACGAGCTGCTCATTCAACGACATCACCCCACCCAGCCGCGAGTCTTACCTATTGCTCATCTCGATCTTATCGCGCCTCCGTCACTAGACAATGGAGCGTTTAGCCCACAACAGCAAGAGGATACCACCCTTCTTACTAGCATATACCCAAAGCTGGCCGCTCTTCAGGCGCTTGATGCTGCTGCTAACTCTCCTGCTGCCTCGCGTATTGCGCTTTCAGACCCGGGCGCTCAGTCGCCCGCCGCACAGCGTCTGGCTGAAGATGTTCTAGCTGGTACTGCGCAACGTGAGTGCTGCGCTCTTGCCTGGACGAGGGACAACCCTCAACAACAAGCAAATCCTTGGGCGCAACATATGCCATCGGAGGGTTCATATCAGCTCCATCATCCAACATTGGGCACCTTCCCCATCTCCCTGGAAGGTGACTGTTCTGTCATCAATGCTCCTTCGACGAGACCCATCACGGCGTTTTACGGGCATAACATGCCCATGACACCACAAAGTACCGGACGCAAGCCAGCCTGCATCACTGTGCTAAACCCATACGTTCTCTCTCCAACGACCCCCCGGACAAACGCGTTCTCTCCGCTACCACCACCTCCGCGATTCGATGGCACGAGACCAGTATCTATGACACCTTCTGAGATGTCTGTTGGCCAACTTCCTACGACCACCGACGCTACTGCCGATGATGCCATGCTCGCACGTCTTGACTTCGCAAACGACGCTCTCATTCTCAACCTTGGTGCCCTGACACGTTTTGGCAATCCCTTCTTGGTTGATGTTCTTACATCAACGCTTCTGGCAGTCGCAGTAGCGGAAGCTACACGCGGCCGCAAAACACGCAATCGAAGCCAAGAAAACTTCGAGCCACCACCACCAAGCTTCACCCTGAACCACCAGAAGGAAGACACAGCAAAAGCCTTCAAAGACTCTTTTGTCGAGGGCTTCCAGGGCATCGGTGGGAAGTCGCGCCCGCCACTCTCGGGTAAAGGACTGAAGAAGTTTGCTTCTAGCCTGAAAAGTACAACAACTCGTAGCGATAGTGCGATGGGAAGTTTCGACAAGGACATTGAGTTGGGCGAGTGGTACGGACAAGACAAGCATACGAAAGCGAAAGCCACAAAATCGGAGAAGAAGGCGAAGAAAGCGAATGCTGATGACGAAAGCAAACTACCGCTGGTCGCACGTACAGTCATAACGGTGTTGACGTTTGCGTTCAAGGCCGTGGTGTTCATACTGAAGATAGCGTTCAAGATTGTTGCGGGTGTCGTCGTCATGATCACGCGGAATTTCAGCAAATTATAGGGCGACGGCAGAAGGGCGGGCTGTTTCTTACGACTGATGGGTTTTGGATGTTTTTCTTGCTGCATGATACCATTCTTACTACATTCGCTGGATACCATTTAGACCGCGCTGCACGCGTGGCGCATAGTACCTTAATTTCAAACGCACGATTATCACGCAATCTCGATTACTTGAGCTGGCCATCGAAAATCAAATGTGAAGTGGTGATCTGTTGACTATGGGTTTGATGGTGGTTCTGACATGTGGACCAAAGCCTGGTTGGACGAACTTAAGAAGAAACCAAGTCCAGAGCCAGCATCGTATCTACCAGCGCAGTTAGGCAGCACCGATCATCATGTACTCCTCGCTCTCCGCCTCGTCCATGAGATCGTCCAGGATGTTGTCAGCATTCCGGTGTATATAGCTCATGGGACCTTCACCACCCTTCAAGTGCAATACGCTTCCGGGCAACAGGTCTCTGGCCTTGTGAGCCATGGCGACGGGACAGTTCTGGTCGTCCTGACCATGCCACAAGGTAAGCGGTACTCCATTCTCTCCAACGTATAGATGTCCAAGCTCAAAGCCCCAGTCGCTGCCGCTCAATTTGGCTTCCCAGCTTGCGCCTTCGCTTCCCTGGTGGAACGATTCTCTAGTCATGGCTACGTAGATGGGCCAGTTGGTGGTGTCGTGGATAGCTTCTTGGTCGGCGGGGTGACGGCTCCGGATCTCCTTGGCAATGATGTCCTCGAGGACTTTCGGGTCGTCATCGCGACTTGGCTTACCGATGGTGCTCTCGAACAGCGTGGTGGTCAGCCCGTTGACCCACGGCGCTGCCCAGAGGACGATGCGCGAAGGCAGCAACATGCCAGCTGTGCCGAACTTGACTGGATAGAGACCGCTGACGATGCTGGCTCCCAGCAGACGGTCCCTCGACACCTCCTTGACGCAAGCCAGTGCATAGGGCGCGCCTCCCGATACGCCCAGTACGTAGAAGTTGTGGATCTTGAGGTGATCTGCCAGGGCGAGCACGTCGGTAGGCCAGTCGAGGATGCGACGATTGATCTGGAAGGTCGACTGGCCGCTGCCAGGACGGTCGGGCGCGATGATGCGGACGTTGTGTAGGGCGCAGGCCGAGTGCCATAGCTTGCCTTCGTAGCGCGAGGATTGGCAGCCATGCATGAAGAATATCGTCTTCTGTGGCATCGGGCTGCCGTAGATGGCGTAGGAGAGGGTGCGGCCATCTTTGAGCTTCATGCGCTCATTCTCCTGCTGCATCGTATGCGTTGGGATTCGTGTTTGGTCGCGAGGGTTGCTGAGTTGTTCGTTGCAGCTTCTACGGGGGATGGAGGGGCGCGCAAGGCCACATTGCCTTCGCCGCCTGGGGTAAGCGCGACCGGCAGCGCATGGTGAAGGTTGTTTGCCTTGAGGGATATACCAGCAGATCGACGATACGGGTGAGTTGTGCAGAGCGGGGGATACCACGGGGTGAGCTTTGTTTAGGCCTCGCTAAGCTGCACTACGGCTGTGACGGGCAAGGCCTCCGAACATCTCGCCTACTAGTCCTGACTTCACATGCGTCTCCAAACATATTACACCAACATCGTTTAGATCAGCGACTCTAACTACTGCGTGGACGTGCAATCCCATCAAGGATGGTGTCCAGGTCACCTGCGCCCTCGCAGCCGGATAGCCGCGCCTTTGCTTACATCCCCACTCACGCCACCCAGACGAAAACGAGTCAAGAAAGAAGCATTACAAGGCCACCAAGAACTCCACCCAACAATCCAAATACCCATTGCATCCCAGTTTCCTGAAGCGCCAATGCTGCTACTACTTCCTCTTCATGTAGAGGGGGCGAAGCAGAGCCTTGACAAAGCCGTCCTCCTTAGCCAGATCCAGAGGGAAGATGCGGCTCTTCAGCGTATATGCACGGAAGAGCTTGTAGTTCTTGAAGACAATGACATCGTAGCGCTCGGGGTTGTCTAGATGGTCCAGGATGTTGAAGATGTTGACATAGACGCGTGAAAGAGCCTACGAGGATACGTCAGCAGAGCTATGCGACCGGGAAAAAAAGTGTAACCTTTTTGCACTGTGTTATAGAAGGCGGCGTAGGCTCGATCTTGACATCACGACACAGCTTCTGCCAGTTTTCCAGTTTCGACTTGTCACGGCCGTAGTGTCGAGACACCTCGAACTCAACAACCTCCGCGCGACGACGCTTCGCTTCGTTCTTGGACCAACCTTGGTGGATCGAAAGCTTGCTGAGTTTCGCTATGAGATCGTCCTCGGGATCTGGGACAAATCCATTAAACTTCTCTTGCGAGAAGTAGTCACGAACTTCATCAGAGGAACCGTCGTCGCTTGGAGGAGGAGTGCTACGGTCGCTCGAGGAAGCAGAGGCAGTTGCTACAGCTTCAGATACAATAGAGACGCCTCCCTCTGTTCAATGTGAGCATATCGCTATTGCTTGTTTATGTACGCTACTCACTAGCGCGACTTCCGCGAACCATCTTGCAGGGTCAGTAGTGCGCGGAACTGCGGCAGTCGCCAATAGTGCCCAGGTGGTTTCCGGAGTACGCGCTACACTAACCAAGAGCGACGTTGGGACTGTTGTGCACACCAAGAAAAGAAACGGCTGGAAAGTGTAAATACAATGTTTACGTGTCGCCAAGCGGCGGCTGACTCATACAAATAAGCAACTATCTTTTAGTCCCATTTTCCCGTTGCACGGATCTGGTGTTGTAACCCCTGATATTGCTTCTGTTTGCAAGTGCAATTACGGCCCACGCGGATTCCTCCGGCCTCGATCACAACTTCCTTAACAACGCCCTGATGAAGCCATCTTCCTTGGCCTTCTTCAGCGGAAACATATTGCCCGGCAATGTGGTGTACGCTCGGAACTTGGAGTAGCTTTTGAATCGGATCACCTCCACACCGATGTTACGATGGTCAATAAGGTTGATCAAATTCACCAGGACGTTCCGGCTGCCAAGCACCTCATCACGGTTAGCAGCAGACTTTGCATCGCTTGCAACTCTCCTTACCTGTCTACACTGTGTTATACTGTCTGGTGGATCGCTGATGTGCACCTCACGACATAGCCTCTGCCAGATCTCTAGCTTTGTTGTATTCGTTCCATATGCATAGCCGAATTCCTCCTCCTGGCATTCAGCCCAACGCCTCTGTTTCAGTCTGTTGCCCCAGCTGCGTTGTGCTGCTAGACGCTCGAAATTGCTCCTGATTCCGACCGTTGGATCGTGTACGAAATTGTCGAACTGCTGGAACCATGCGCCGCCCTGGTTTGGGGTGTCGGTATCAACATTATCGTCCGCGTCAGCATGGTTTGACGCCGCTAAGACTGCCTGCAAACTGGTCCACTGCTTTCTTCGGAGTTTATCACCCCAGTTGCGCTTTGAGGCGAGACGATCGAAGTTACTCCTGGTGCTGGCGCTTGTGTCGCATGCGAAGAGTGCAAACTTCAGGAACCACACGGCAGCCTGACTTGTATCCTGGGCAGTTGAACTGTTTGGGTTCGCAGCAGAGGCTGCGGTGTCTAAACAGGTCAGTTAGAGTGTGTAGCATAAGATTTCGACAAACTTTACTCACGGGCGCGGCCGGTATGATGACCGGACATGGCGGATAGTCTAGGAAGGTAAGTGAGGTTCTAGGGTGGTGGAAATAACCCAGGACTCCTTAAATCGATACGTGGGTGCATATGGGAAGCTGCAGCAAACCGAGATGAGCAGACAATCGGACCATTGAGGACGTGGAAGACCCGAGATCCCTGGCGCCACGTCGGCAACGAGCTGGAACATTCTGCCAGTATTCTCTACAGGCATAGTTGCATAGGCTCCAATGATGTGGGTGGTGGCTTTGGGGTTTGAACATCGAATGAGCCTCGATCGCATTGAGTGCCTGCTGCACGGTGGAGCAACTGTGCCGCATGTATGCATATGCATAGCAGGGAGAGAGAGTAAATAGAAGCCCTGGGTTAACGTGAAGAGCTACTGAATTCTACCTAGGAAGAAAGATCCCTGAACATTATCCGGCATAGCACAATCTTCCATAGGTAGATGAGACCCTTCAGAATACCGCTTGAAGTAACAAAGCCTCCGATCTCTCTTGTACGAAGTCAAGGGTAGATCAAACCATGATAAGACTTCAGCGTGACGAGCTAGGTACTCTCGCCTGGCCGCAGCGAATCATCTTGATGCCTGTGCCTTCAGAGTACTTCCTTGAGAAAGATGGGCAAGAATGTGTCTCCCTTCGCTTCGTCAAGGGGATATCTGCGACCATTTAAGGTGTATTTCCTGAACTCCTTGAAATCTTGGAAGACAAACACGTCAGAGCCTGTTCGCTGCGAGTCAAGGAGATCGTAGATGTTGACCAAAACCTCCGCAAGTACCTGAATACGTGTCAGTAACTGAGTGTCATGACAAAGAGGAGAGTAACATACTTCCATGCAGCCAGGAATACTATCTGGGATTATATCGAGGCTGCAAAGGCGACAGAAGTCTTGCCAACGAGCCAGGCTACCCAGGTCGCTGCCCATGTGGGCTTCCCAATCGGCATCGAAGATCTCAATCCTGGCCTCGCGGCGCTCTTCACGACTCCAGCGCATGTGTTTGCAGAATCTCCAGAACTCATTGTTGAAACTTGCCGTATGGTCGGGGAAGAAGCCCTCAAACTGATACCAGATGTCGCTCGCACGAACGCCGCCACTGTCGCTTGGAGTGGGCGTAGCATTTGACACCGAAGTACCAGTAGCATCATCGGGGACAGCATTGGCATCTGCCTCATGGGAAGTTGACAGAGAATCTGGGATCTGTCAGTTTTGTTGTAAAGTCAAACACTGTCTACTCACCGAAAGCGCGCCAGATGTAGACCTCGCCGAAGCACTCATGCCAGTGGTCATTCCACGTCTCTTCTCCGCCGACCCAACCCATCATCTTGGCTAGAAGACAGAATTGGCGCTTGGTAGAATCGTGGGTATCGAGTATGAAGACGCTGTCCTGCGCCCA